TCCATTTGACCCGCTATCCCAATTATGGGCATTTTCCCAGAACTGAAAACATCATATCACAGTGATATATGTGCACACATGTTTATAGCAGCACAATTTGTAATAGCCAGATCTTGGAAACAATCCAAATGCCTATCAACCAAGGAATGGATAAAAAAAGATGTGGTATTTGCTATAAAGAAGGATTGCATGAAGGCTTTTGTAGGTAAATGAGTGAGACTTGAGACCATACTCATAAGTGAAATAAATCAGACTCACATGAGTAAATACTGTATTGTCTCCCTAGTGTAAGAAACTGAAGGAGTAAGTAAGATCTGGGGCTGGGGATTTAGCTCAGCGGGCAAGCAGGCAGTCGTGAGTTCGATCCCCGGTACCGATAAAAAGGAAAAAGAAAAAAAAAAAAAGATCCAAAATCTACAATAGATATTGTCAAAGGGGAAAGATAACTAGGATAAGGGAAAGGAGAAAAGAAGGAAGGGAAAAGGAAAAGTTATCATTTTGTTTATATATACATAATAGCTAAGATGATTATATTATAAATTCTGTTAGTTCTTGTAAAAGAACAGTTAATACTCATACGATTAGATCAATTTTGCATGTCTATATCTGGTAATCTAAGCAACTGGACAAGATGTATGGTGACCTGGCCATGCTGGAAACAGGACCTGTGGGACTCGGCTGAGGCATAGAATCCCAACATGGTGGCCACCACCTTCCTGCTGCAGCAGCTGCTCAGGGCTGTACCATCAACATGGCGTGAGTGCTGGGTTGATTGGGGCTGCGCGGGGGGTCTCACAGTTAGTGAGACTAACATGACCCAGGGTGTGTGTGTGACCTAGGGTGTGTGTGAGTGTGTGTGTGTGTGTGTGTGTGTGTATTACAAGGGATCGAACCCAGAGCCTTGACATCTAACAGCAGCCCTTCAGCCCTTTTTGAGACATTGTCAGGATGGGCCCCAACTTTCGATCCTCCTGCCTCAGCCTTCCTAGTGCTGAGATTACAAGGCATGCAAAACCAAAATTAGCAAAATTTGTTGTTGCTGGTAGTGGCAACTGCAACGATAGTTCCTAAAATTGTTATCAGTGCATGTTTGCAGTACCTACTGATTACAGTCACCTTGGGGAGGTGGTACCAGTGCATCTTAATTCTTTGTGATCGATATGAACAGAGAAAGAGGATAAGGCCAGGCTGTGGGGGCCCAGGTCTCTGGAGATAAGCTACACAGAGGGGTTTGGGGGCACTTCATATCTGGGAGTCTGCTCTGTCAGGGAGAGGGTGAGGGCTTGCCATGTAGTTCGGGGCAGGGCATTTGTTTAGCATGCTCGAAATCCTGGGTTCCATCTCCGGCAATGATAGGGGGGAAAAAGAAAGACAGACAGAGACAGTGTCTCAGGAGGCTGAGGCAGGATGATTCCCTCCTGGCTACATAGTGAGTCATTGCCAGTCAGAACTTCAGAGCGAGAACCTATCTCAAAAAATACAAGAAAGAAAAGAGCAGAGGGGAAATGTCACAGCTCCGACCCCTGTCCATGCGCAGGCTGGCCAAGGAGGACATGTGATTTCAGCTGCCCGACAGCCTGGAGGACTCCCCTAGGAGAGGCACACGGCGACCACTTGCAGCGCCTCCTGCTGACGGGAGCGAGAACTGCCGTGCTGGGCTGGTGCTTGTCGCTGCTGCATCCCAAGCACAGCTGCCTGTTCCAGGAGTCCATCGAGGCCAGCTGCGCATGCGCTCCCCCTTCACTCGCCCCCCACTCCCCAGAGGGAGCCACCCTAAAGTGCAGCTGTGCAGACTCACTCTTGCAGTCTGGTGCTTGGGAGCCAGAGTTCTGGCCTGCAGCCTGACCCGAGCCCGCGGCGACCCTGCGGGTCTCAGATGCCTTCCCGGCCTGCCCATCCCTGGACCCTGGCTGACCAGCCCTATCGGTGAGGAGGAGGAGAATCTGACCTGAGCTGCTGCGGCTAGGCCTCCCAAGCACAGAGACCCAAGCCAATCCACCCCAGGCCAAGCTGCATCGACCTGCTGTGCCTGCAGAGTCAGGCTGCGTGGGTCCCCTGCCTTTAAATTCACCGTGGAGCCTAGGCTGACTTTGAACTCATGGAGTTCCTCATGCATCAGCCTCCCAAATCCTAAGGTTACCGGCCTGTGCCACCACACCCAGCTCCCTCGGTTGCTTTGTGCAGCCAGTTCTTAAGGCCGGATCCACCTCCCACCCCTACTGCCCCGGCAGCCTCTGAAAGAATGTCCTGCCTGAGTTCTTCCCTTCCAGCAGACAGGAGAGCCTACGTGTGTAGCAGGTGCTCAATAAACTGTGTGTGTAGAAGAAAAAAATCCTATAATCTTATTTTGAAAGCCTATGTTGTTATTGCTTTGGGGTTTTATGTTGTTCTTGTAGCTATTGTTTGTATGTCTGTCTCTTGTTTTTCTTTTCTGTGTGTTTATTTTCTCTTTAGAATAAAAACATTTTAAAAATCTAAGAATAATATTTGGAGAAATACAACTGCGTAAACTTAAGACTTTATTCAGATTTCCCCAGTTTTTCTGTTAATTTTTTTTTTTTTCTGTGCCAGGATTTATTTCTTCTTAGTCTCCCTCACTTTGTGACAATTTCTCACTCTTTTCTTATTGTTCATGACTTGGCTGCTTCTAAAGAGGGTATCTGGTAAAAATCCTTAATTTGCTATTGTGTCATCTTTTCTCATAATTCAGTCAGTGCACAAGGATTTTGGAGGCAGGAGATGAGAGGCAAAGTATACTTTTCAGCATAGGGTGCCAGGGACACATAATATCCACAAGAAATCACTGTCCACTCACCTTGGTCCTTGCACCGAGTGGCATCTACTAAGTTCCCCTTTCCAAACTCTGTCAGTTAGAAGAGACTCCTAGCCTTTCACTCCTGAAGGGAGAAGTGCTGAGGACTTTATGGACATGTATTATACTATCATATTTTAATTCAAATGGGTAGCATTAATTGACAGCTGAAATATAACTGTGGAAAGGGCTTTGGGATTCATGTCCACAAAAACATACATCAAATAAGCAGGACAGTGTTTCAAACAACTGATTATTTTGTCAACTATAAAGCTAGCCAAACAATAAAAAATTTTAAAGGCAAAATGATATTCAAAAAGGTAATATAGCCAGGTGCGGTGGCACACGCCTGTAATCCCAGCACTTGGAAAGCTGAGGCAGGAAGATCCTTGTGAGTTCCAGGCCAGCCCGGGCTACAAAGTGAGCCCAAGGCCTGAACCACATAGTGGTTGCAATGCAATACAAACATCAAATAAATTTAAATAACCTGAATGCTTGACAAGGGGATGGTATAGGTTCACGGTGACAGAGATTAGGAAGCACATATGTGTGGATGGAATTGTCTTAGTACTTACCTCACTACTTACACAACAGACAAGCTCTGCCACTGAGGCACACCCAAAGCCCAGCTTGTTTTCTCTTGTCAAATACCTGGGATCCCTCTTAACCCCACCTAGATGTCAAGTGGTACCTTGGTTCATGAACTTAATTTTTTCCACAATTTTGTTCACAAACCAAATTGAGAAACCAATCAAATTTCCCCACAAGGTTAACATGGAACCTAACCACTGAATTTGATTTGAATCTTGTCCAATTCAGTTTGGGATCAGAATCATGGAAAAGGGGATATAGCTCAGCGGCATAAACACGTGCCTGGCAAGTTCAAGATCCCGAATTTAACTCCCCTTACAAAACAAAATCGTGGAAAGAATTCAGTTTGTGTACCAATGTACTTACTGATCTTCTGTTTTGACACCTGCACCTCAGAAACCAAGCTCAAGAAGGAACTTTTTTGTCTTTTTCGTTTTTATCAGTACCAGGGATCAAACTCGCGACCACACACTTGCCAGGCAGGTGCTTATGCCACTGAGCTAAACCCCCAGCCCCTCAGAAGGGACTTTGATTATAGCTGTATTATCTCTCAGATAGGCAGTATCATGGAATTCAATTTGAATTCATGACCTTATATGAATAAAACACAAGGCAAAGTGTCCAAAAGACTTTCTCTATTATGCCAGAAATACTATTTTGTATTTTTATGTAATTTGTATAATGAAATAAATTATATTAAATACAGAATATGTATTATCAGTTAATATTTCAAAATTACCTTTATTATATTTAATTTATTAAGAGTAACTACACTGTTTATATATAAATTATGAACATGAACTAACTATGACTATGAAATACTTAGATAATTGTACAAATGGCATTATGTTACACATACTATTCTTTTTTATGTGGAACTATGTGGTTTGTGTGTGTGTGTGTGTGTGTGTGTGTGTGTGTGTGTGAGTGTGAGTGTAGTGCTGGGGGCTGAAGCTAGGGCATCACCCATGATGGGTGCTATAAAATTGAACTAAACACATACACCAGCACATAAAGTTTGTTTAGAGATTTAACCTTGATTTTTCATTTTTTAAAACATAGATGGAGTTCAGTAGTTTCCACTGGGCATTTTGCACTCACAGGACCTTTGTTTGTTTGTTTTGTACCCAGGATGAAATTCAACGACCTCTAGCTTGCCAGGGAGACGGTTATCCCCAGCTCCACTTTTAGGATATTTATAAAGCCAGGAGAGGCTGCTGGTTATGACAAGAGCACTTGTGCTCCCAGCACCTACTGGTGACAGGCCTAGGCTGCAGCTCCAACCCTCACAGAAAAAACCCAGTCCCAGCCACAAAGAATGCTATGGCCCCACATGGCAAGAGTGCCACAGTGCAGAAGCCAAGAAAATGACCACATTTAGGCTGCTAAAACTCTGCTTTTATTATGCTCTTATTACATAGCACAAGAAAGACCACTGAAGTAGAGCAATTGGGCATGGGTGGGATGGAGGGGGTGGGATGGAGGGGGTGGGTCGCAGTGGTCCTAGGGGTAATCTTCTGCTCTTCTGTAGTGTGAGCTCCCAGCACAGGGAGAGGAGACATCCGCTGTCTCCTGTGGTCTGCTGGCCGCGTGGCTCCTATGGTGGTGGTGGTGGTGAGGAGCCCCGGGCCTGAGAAGAGGACGGAGGTGCCAGGACCCTCATTCTTGGGGGCCTGGGGGCCCTGGCAGGCTGCACAGGCTGGGAGAAACAGGGTGCCTGTGGCACAGGCCTGAGCCTAGGCTCTGGCAAGGGCAGGAAAGCCTGAGGCACCCAACAGGGCAGCAGGGTGGCCTGCAGCGGGGCAATTCGCAGCTGGGCGACTTGCAGATGGGCGACTTGCAGCGGGGCAGCTTGCATATGGGCAAGCTGCAGCGAGGCAGCTTGCAGCTGGGCGACTTGCATCTGGGCGGCTTGCAGCTGAGTGGCTTGCAGCTGGGCGGCCTGGAGCTGGGTGAGTTGCATCGGGGCGGCTTGCAGCGAGGCAGCAGCGGTGGTGGCTGCAGCAGCGTTAGTGGCCGGGAGGTGGCCTTGCTCTGGCCTGGCGTAGCTGGTGCAGAATCCTGGGCAGCATTCCGGGCAGAACATGAAGTTGGACGGCGGCTGCGGGTCCGGCGGGGGCAGGTCCGGCGGGGGCAGGTTGAGCGGCCCCTGCCTGGGCACGAAGGCGCGGATCTCTCCGTGTCTGCCCTGCACCGGCTGGAAGGCGGACTGGCGCTGCGTGCCGCTCTTCTTCCTTCTCTTGGGCTGCGGCCTCTCCGAGGCGAGTGTGGAGCTCAGAGGCCGCGAGGCTGCGTGGCCCATCGAGTCGGCGGCTTCGGGGTGTTGGGGGCCCTGGCGGGCCACGGCCAGCGGCTCCTGCAAGTGGAAGGAGCTCAGCGCGAAGGCGAGCTGCAGGCCGGGCAGGGCGGCCTGCACGGCGCCCGGGCTGGGAGGCATCGGGCCCTCCGGCCCCTGCAGCGGGCCGGCACAGACGACGGCCTGGGGCGGCGCGGCGGCCGCCTGGGCCGGGGCCTCCCACGCCATGACGAGGACGCCGGGGGCGGCGGTGGCCGAGGCCGCGGCTGTGCGGGAGCCTCGGCGGCGGGGAGCGCGTCTCTGCGAGGCGGGTCGCGCCGCGGGCCCCGTCCGGGGCGTCTCCATGTGGCTCTCGGGCGGCGGGGTCGGAGGACAACGAGCGGGCCAGGCCGCGGGCCCCCTCCGGGGCGTCGCCATGTGGCTCTCGGGGTGGCTGTCCGTCGGTGGGGTCGCAGGACAACGAGCGGGCCAGGCCGCGGGCCCCCTCCGGGGCGTCGCCATGAGGCTCTCGGGGTGGCTGTCCGGCAGTGGGGTCGCAGGACGACGAGCGGCCCGCGCCGCGGGCCCCCTCCGGGGCGTCGCCATGTGGCTCTCGGGGTGGCTGTCCATCGGCGGGGTCGCAGGACAACGAGCGGCCCGGGCCGCGGGCCCCCTCCGGGGCGTCGCCATGAGGCTCTCGGGGTGGCTGTCCGGCTGTGGGGTCGCAGGACAACGAGCGGCCCGGGCCGCGGGCCCCCTCCGGGGCGTCTCCATGTAGCTCTCGGGGTGGCTGTCCGGCGGTGGGGTCGTCGGACGACGAGTGGCCCGCGCCGCGGGCCCCCTCCGGGGCGTCGCCATGTGGCTCTCAGGCGGCAGCGTCGCCGGAGGACGAGCGGCCATGGCCTGAGGCGCAGCGCGACGGTGGAACGCGGGCTGCGTCGACCTTTGGGTTCCCGGCGGGCAGTGCCAGGCGCGCGGGGCCCTGGGGGGCCACCAGGCGCGACGGTGGCCGCGATGTCCCATGCGTTCCACAGAGCGCGGACGCGACCAAGACGCTCCGGCCCCCACGCCCCCCACGCCGTGCTGGGTGGGCGGGAGCGCCTCACGTGGAGCCGGAGAGACAGACAGAGGGGGCCGTTGTTGCTCGGCCCCCGTGCGCGCCACTTTTTACAATGTAGCGACTAAGGAAAAGGCCCAGGACGTCCAGGGTTTGCGCGCTTCCATTGGCCGTGCGATTTTATGCAGCTTGTCCTATCATTTTCAATCTTCACGCCGTCTTGTAAAGATGCTTCTCTTTATGGGCGCTGATGCCGTTTCTCTTCTTTATATTTCTCCTGTAATATTGGAACCCAGTGGCTGGTCCGATGGCAGTGGGTTATCAGAACTTATTAACATTAGTGTCACTAAAGTTGGTATATCACCCCCACACACACTGCTAAATTTGACTGACTTAAAAAATATATATATTGGAACCCAGTGAGGCTCAGTTCCCACCAACAGTAAAAAATGTTACGTTTTTTGGCGCAATTGAGAGACAGAGACAAGACAAAGCCTTTATTGCTGGCTCAAGAGGGATGCAGGAGATTGCAAGGACCCCCAAAGGGGACAAAGCTGGGGAGTTGCTTTTATGGGACGGGGATGGGGTGGAGCCTATACGAGTGTGCAATTTATCATGTTAGGAGAGGACTGGGGGACTTTTTGGCATAGGGAGTGGAGACTGAGTGGATGGTGTCAGGACTGGGTGTGGAGAACCTCTGAGGCATGTGCAAAACGGAGACAGTTTATTGTTTTGGGTCCAGAAAATGAGCACCGGAATTAGTGCAAGAGAGAGATCCTGTTGTGTCAGGGGTCAGTGCCGTGATGGACTGGCACCATGTAGAATCAGGCAGAATCCAATAGGAGCAGAACCCATCAGAAAACATCTAACTTTGAAAATTGTATGTCCAAGGTTTCCTGCGTAGTTGTGTGCTTAGATTTGGAGGTCTTGTACTCAAGGTGCTGTGTAACAAAATCTTTTTTCTCTAAAGCCTGTGCATAAAGAAGTTGCTGTGTTGTATCAAATGCCAAAATGAGGGGAGGGGACTGAAAGAAGAAGCCAGGAAGAAATTAAAAAGAGCACAAAATATTCGGCTCATATTTGAAGTGCAAGGCTGAATGCTGAAGATAGTAAGTAGGGCTTAGTGCGAAAGTTCCAGGAGATTCTGAGCTCAGGCCAAGTGTTTTGGGATAAAGAGGTGGCATCAGCCAGTGGGTGCGGGAGAATGAGATCCTTAGGACTCTACTGCCTGATGAACTGTTTTTTTATTCATTTATATTTTTTTGAAAATTCCAAAACTGTGCATGGTGGCACACTCCTGTTATCCCAGCACTTGGGAGGCTGAGGCAGGAGAATCATTTGCTAATTGAAGACCAGCCTGGACTACAAAGTGAGCTCAAGGCCAGCCCTCATAACAAGACCGTATCTCAAAAAGACAAAAAAAAAAAAATCCTTATTTAAATAATTATTTTGTTGTCAGATTTTCCTTACCACAGAAAAATACACGAAAATAACAGTTATTATTATTATTATTATTATTATTGTTATTATTTTGGTGCCGGGAATCAAAGTCACAATCTCACTCTTGCCAGGCAGACACTGCCACTGAGCTATTTTCCGGGCCCTGAAAATAATAGTTTAAAGGAGGAAAGGTTTATTTGACTCAGGTTTTCAGAGGTTTCAGTCCATGGTCAGCTGACTCTTGCTTTTAAACTTGTAGTGAAGCACCAAAAAAAAACATGATTGAGGAACTGATGAATACTCATTTCATGTTATTCAGGAAGAAAGAGAGAGGGGAAAGAACTAGTGGCAAGACAAACCCATCAAAGTTTATGCCTCTAACGACTTACTTTCTCCAACTAAAGCCCGTTTCCTAATTGCCCAATCAGCTATGAACTAAATTTTGGATTAATCCAATGAATGAGGCTAACACCTTCACTTCCAAAACTTCCATCTCTTAACACGTAAATCTTTTGGGAGACTTGTGTGTGTGTGTGTGTGTGTGTGTATTACAAGGGATCGAACCCAGAGCCTTGACATCTAACAGCAGCCCTTCAGCCCTTTTTGAGACATTGTCAGGATGGGCCCCAACTTTCGATCCTCCTGCCTCAGCCTTCCTAGTGCTGAGATTACAAGGCATGCAAAACCAAAATTAGCAAAATTTGTTGTTGCTGGTAGTGGCAACTGCAACGATAGTTCCTAAAATTGTTATCAGTGCATGTTTGCAGTACCTACTGATTACAGTCACCTTGGGGAGGTGGTACCAGTGCATCTTAATTCTTTGTGATCGATATGAACAGAGAAAGAGGATAAGGCCAGGCTGTGGGGGCCCAGGTCTCTGGAGATAAGCTACACAGAGGGGTTTGGGGGCACTTCATATCTGGGAGTCTGCTCTGTCAGGGAGAGGGTGAGGGCTTGCCATGTAGTTCGGGGCAGGGCATTTGTTTAGCATGCTCGAAATCCTGGGTTCCATCTCCGGCAATGATAGGGGGGAAAAAGAAAGACAGACAGAGACAGTGTCTCAGGAGGCTGAGGCAGGATGATTCCCTCCTGGCTACATAGTGAGTCATTGCCAGTCAGAACTTCAGAGCGAGAACCTATCTCAAAAAATACAAGAAAGAAAAGAGCAGAGGGGAAATGTCACAGCTCCGACCCCTGTCCATGCGCAGGCTGGCCAAGGAGGACATGTGATTTCAGCTGCCCGACAGCCTGGAGGACTCCCCTAGGAGAGGCACACGGCGACCACTTGCAGCGCCTCCTGCTGACGGGAGCGAGAACTGCCGTGCTGGGCTGGTGCTTGTCGCTGCTGCATCCCAAGCACAGCTGCCTGTTCCAGGAGTCCATCGAGGCCAGCTGCGCATGCGCTCCCCCTTCACTCGCCCCCCACTCCCCAGAGGGAGCCACCCTAACGTGCAGCTGTGCAGACTCACTCTTGCAGTCTGGTGCTTGGGAGCCAGAGTTCTGGCCTGCAGCCTGACCCGAGCCCGCGGCGACCCTGCGGGTCTCAGATGCCTTCCCGGCCTGCCCATCCCTGGACCCTGGCTGACCAGCCCTATCGGTGAGGAGGAGGAGAATCTGACCTGAGCTGCTGCGGCTAGGCCTCCCAAGCACAGAGACCCAAGCCAATCCACCCCAGGCCAAGCTGCATCGACCTGCTGTGCCTGCAGAGTCAGGCTGCGTGGGTCCCCTGCCTTTAAATTCACCGTGGAGCCTAGGCTGACTTTGAACTCATGGAGTTCCTCATGCATCAGCCTCCCAAATCCTAAGGTTACCGGCCTATGCCACCACACCCAGCTCCCTCGGTTGCTTTGTGCAGCCAGTTCTTAAGGCCGGATCCACCTCCCACCCCTACTGCCCCGGCAGCCTCTGAAAGAATGTCCTGCCTGAGTTCTTCCCTTCCAGCAGACAGGAGAGCCTACGTGTGTAGCAGGTGCTCAATAAACTGTGTGTGTAGAAGAAAAAAATCCTATAATCTTATTTTGAAAGCCTATGTTGTTATTGCTTTGGGGTTTTATGTTGTTCTTGTAGCTATTGTTTGTATGTCTGTCTCTTGTTTTTCTTTTCTGTGTGTTTATTTTCTCTTTAGAATAAAAACATTTTAAAAATCTAAGAATAATATTTGGAGAAATACAACTGCGTAAACTTAAGACTTTATTCAGATTTCCCCAGTTTTTCTGTTAATTTTTTTTTTTTCTGTGCCAGGATTTATTTCTTCTTAGTCTCCCTCACTTTGTGACAATTTCTCACTCTTTTCTTATTGTTCATGACTTGGCTGCTTCTAAAGAGGGTATCTGGTAAAAAGCCTTAATTTGCTATTGTGTCATCTTTTCTCATAATTCAGTCAGTGCACAAGGATTTTGGAGGCAGGAGATGAGAGGCAAAGTATACTTTTCAGCATAGGGTGCCAGGGACACATAATATCCACAAGAAATCACTGTCCACTCACCTTGGTCCTTGCACCGAGTGGCATCTACTAAGTTCCCCTTTCCAAACTCTGTCAGTTAGAAGAGACTCCTAGCCTTTCACTCCTGAAGGGAGAAGTGCTGAGGACTTTATGGACATGTATTATACTATCATATTTTAATTCAAATGGGTAGCATTAATTGACAGCTGAAATATAACTGTGGAAAGGGCTTTGGGATTCATGTCCACAAAAACATACATCAAATAAGCAGGACAGTGTTTCAAACAACTGATTATTTTGTCAACTGTAAAGCTAGCCAAACAATAAAAAATTTTAAAGGCAAAATGATATTCAAAAAGGTAATATAGCCAGGTGCGGTGGCACACGCCTGTAATCCCAGCACTTGGAAAGCTGAGGCAGGAAGATCCTTGTGAGTTCCAGGCCAGCCCGGGCTACAAAGTGAGCCCAAGGCCTGAACCACATAGTGGTTGCAATGCAATACAAACATCAAATAAATTTAAATAACCTGAATGCTTGACAAGGGGATGGTATAGGTTCACGGTGACAGAGATTAGGAAGCACATATGTGTGGATGGAATTGTCTTAGTACTTACCTCACTACTTACACAACAGACAAGCTCTGCCACTGAGGCACACCCAAAGCCCAGCTTGTTTTCTCTTGTCAAATACCTGGGATCCCTCTTAACCCCACCTAGATGTCAAGTGGTACCTTGGTTCATGAACTTAATTTTTTCCACAATTTTGTTCACAAACCAAATTGAGAAACCAATCAAATTTCCCCACAAGGTTAACATGGAACCTAACCACTGAATTTGATTTGAATCTTGTCCAATTCAGTTTGGGATCAGAATCATGGAAAAGGGGATATAGCTCAGCGGCATAAACACGTGCCTGGCAAGTTCAAGATCCCGAATTTAACTCCCCTTACAAAACAAAATCGTGGAAAGAATTCAGTTTGTGTACCAATGTACTTACTGATCTTCTGTTTTGACACCTGCACCTCAGAAACCAAGCTCAAGAAGGAACTTTTTTGTCTTTTTCGTTTTTATCAGTACCAGGGATCAAACTCGCGACCACACACTTGCCAGGCAGGTGCTTATGCCACTGAGCTAAACCCCCAGCCCCTCAGAAGGGACTTTGATTATAGCTGTATTATCTCTCAGATAGGCAGTATCATGGAATTCAATTTGAATTCATGACCTTATATGAATAAAACACAAGGCAAAGTGTCCAAAAGACTTTCTCTATTATGCCAGAAATACTATTTTGTATTTTTATGTAATTTGTATAATGAAATAAATTATATTAAATACAGAATATGTATTATCAGTTAATATTTCAAAATTACCTTTATTATATTTAATTTATTAAGAGTAACTACACTGTTTATATATAAATTATGAACATGAACTAACTATGACTATGAAATACTTAGATAATTGTACAAATGGCATTATGTTACACATACTATTCTTTTTTATGTGGAACTATGTGGTTTGTGTGTGTGTGTGTGTGTGTGTGTGTGTGTGTGTGAGTGTGAGTGTAGTGCTGGGGGCTGAAGCTAGGGCATCACCCATGATGGGTGCTATAAAATTGAACTAAACACATACACCAGCACATAAAGTTTGTTTGGAGATTTAACCTTGATTTTCATTTTTTAAAACATAGATGGAGTTCAGTAGTTTCCACTGGGCATTTTGCACTCACAGGACCTTTGTTTGTTTGTTTTGTACCCAGGATGAAATTCAACGACCTCTAGCTTGCCAGGGAGACGGTTATCCCCAGCTCCACTTTTAGGATATTTATAAAGCCAGGAGAGGCTGCTGGTTATGACAAGAGCACTTGTGCTCCCAGCACCTACTGGTGACAGCCTAGGCTGCAGCTCCACCCTCACAGAAAAAACCCAGTCCCAGCCACAAAGAATGCTATGGCCCCACATGGCAAGAGTGCCACAGTGCAGAAGCCAAGAAAATGACCACATTTAGGCTGCTAAAACTCTGCTTTTATTATGCTCTTATTACATAGCACAAGAAAGACCACTGAAGTAGAGCAATTGGGCATGGGTGGGATGGAGGGGGTGGGATGGAGGGGGTGGGTCGCAGTGGTCCTAGGGGTAATCTTCTGCTCTTCTGTAGTGTGAGCTCCCAGCACAGGGAGAGAGACATCCGCTGTCTCCTGTGGTCTGCTGGCCGCGTGGCTCCTATGGTGGTGGTGGTGAGGAGGAGCCCCGGGCCTGAGAAGAGGACGGAGGTGCCAGGACCCTCATTCTTGGGGGCCTGGGGGCCCTGGCAGGCTGCACAGGCTGGGAGAAACAGGGTGCCTGTGGCACAGGCCTGAGCCTAGGCTCTGGCAAGGGCAGGAAAGCCTGAGGCACCCAACAGGGCAGCAGGGTGGCCTGCAGCGGGGCAATTCGCAGCTGGGCGACTTGCAGCTGGGCGACTTGCAGCGGGGCAGCTTGCATATGGGCAAGCTGCAGCGAGGCAGCTTGCAGCTGGGCGACTTGCATCTGGGCGGCTTGCAGCTGAGTGGGCTTGCAGCTGGGCGGCCTGGAGCTGGGTGAGTTGCATCGGGGCGGCTTGCAGCGAGGCAGCAGCGGTGGTGGCTGCAGCAGCGTTAGTGGCCGGGAGGTGGCCTTGCTCTGGCCTGGCGTAGCTGGTGCAGAATCCTGGGCAGCATCCGGGCAGAACATGAAGTTGGACGGCGGCTGCGGGTCCGGCGGGGGCAGGTCCGGCGGGGGCAGGTTGAGCGGCCCCTGCCTGGGCACGAAGGCGCGGATCTCTCCGTGTCTGCCCTGCACCGGCTGGAAGGCGGACTGGCGCTGCGTGCCGCTCTTCTTCCTTCTCTTGGGCTGCGGCCTCTCCGAGGCGAGTGTGGAGCTCAGAGGCCGCGAGGCTGCGTGGCCCATCGAGTCGGCGGCTTCGGGGTGTTGGGGGCCCTGGCGGGCCACGGCCAGCGGCTCCTGCAAGTGGAAGGAGCTCAGCGCGAAGGCGAGCTGCAGGCCGGGCAGGGCGGCCTGCACGGCGCCCGGGCTGGGAGGCATCGGGCCCTCCGGCCCCTGCAGCGGGCCGGCACAGACGACGGCCTGGGGCGGCGCGGCGGCCGCCTGGGCCGGGGCCTCCCACGCCATGACGAGGACGCCGGGGGCGGCGGTGGCCGAGGCCGCGGCTGTGCGGGAGCCTCGGCGGCGGGAGCGCGTCTCTGCGAGGCGGGTCGCGCCGCGGGCCCCGTCCGGGGCGTCTCCATGTGGCTCTCGGGCGGCGGGGTCGGAGGACAACGAGCGGGCCAGGCCGCGGGCCCCCTCCGGGGCGTCGCCATGTGGCTCTCGGGGTGGCTGTCCGTCGGTGGGGTCGCAGGACAACGAGCGGGCCAGGCCGCGGGCCCCCTCCGGGGCGTCGCCATGAGGCTCTCGGGGTGGCTGTCCGGCGGTGGGGTCGCAGGACGACGAGCGGCCCGCGCCGCGGGCCCCCTCCGGGGCGTCGCCATGTGGCTCTCGGGGTGGCTGTCCATCGGCGGGGTCGCAGGACAACGAGCGGCCCGGGCCGCGGGCCCCCTCCGGGGCGTCGCCATGAGGCTCTCGGGGTGGCTGTCCGGCGGTGGGGTCGCAGGACAACGAGCGGCCCGGGCCGCGGGCCCCCTCCGGGGTCTCCATGTGGCTCTCGGGGTGGCTGTCCGGCTGTGGGGTCGCAGGACAACGAGCGGCCCGCGCCGCGGGCCCCCCTCCGGGGCGTCGCCATGAGGCTCTCGGGGTGGCTGTCCGGCGGTGGGGTCGTCGGACGACGAGCGGCCCGCGCCGCGGGCCCCCTCCGGGGCGTCGCCATGTGGCTCTCAGGCCGCAGCGTCGCCGGACGACGAGCGGCCATGGCCTGAGGCGCAGCGCGACGGTGGAACGCGGGCTGCGTCGACCTTTGGGTTCCGGGCGGGCAGTGCCAGGCGCGCGGGGCCCTGGGGGGCCACCAGGCGCGACGGTGGCCGCGATGTCCCATGCGTTCCACAGAGCGCGGACGCGACCAAGACGCTCCGGCCCCCACGCCCCCCACGCCGTGCTGGGTGGGCGGGAGCGCCTCACGTGGAGCCGGAGAGACAGACAGAGGGGGCCGTTGTTGCTCGGCCCCCGTGCGCGCCACTTTTTACAATGTAGCGACTAAGGAAAAGGCCCAGGACGTCCAGGGTTTGCGCGCTTCCATTGGCCGTGCGATTTTATGCAGCTTGTCCTATCATTTTCAATCTTCACGCCGTCTTGTAAAGATGCTTCTCTTTTATGGGGCGCTGATGCCGTTTCTCTTCTTTATATTTCTCCTGTAATATTGGAACCCAGTGGCTGGTCCGATGGCAGTGGGTTATCAGAACTTATTAACATTAGTGTCACTAAAGTTGGTATATCACCCCCACACACACTGCTAAATTTGACTGACTTAAAAATATATATATTGGAACCCAGTGAGGCTCAGTTCCCACCAACAGTAAAAAATGTTACGTTTTTTTGGCGCAATTGAGAGACAGAGACAAGACAAAGCCTTTATTGCTGGCTCAAGAGGGATGCAGGAGATTGCAAGGACCCCCAAAGGGGACAAAGCTGGGGAGTTGCTTTTATGGGACGGGGATGGGGTGGAGCCTATACGAGTGTGCAATTTATCATGTTAGGAGAGGACTGGGGGACTTTTTGGCATAGGGAGTGGAGACTGAGTGGATGGTGTCAGGACTGGGTGTGGAGAACCTCTGAGGCATGTGCAAAACGGAGACAGTTTATTGTTTTGGGTCCAGAAAATGAGCACCGGAATTAGTGCAAGAGAGAGATCCTGTTGTGTCAGGGGTCAGTGCCGTGATGGACTGGCACCATGTAGAATCAGGCAGAATCCAATAGGAGCAGAACCCATCAGAAAACATCTAACTTTGAAAATTGTATGTCCAAGGTTTCCTGCGTAGTTGTGTGCTTAGATTTGGAGGTCTTGTACTCAAGGTGCTGTGTAACAAAATCTTTTTTCTCTAAAGCCTGTGCATAAAGAAGTTGCTGTGTTGTATCAAATGCCAAAATGAGGGGAGGGGACTGAAAGAAGAAGCCAGGAAGAAATTAAAAAGAGCACAAAATATTCGGCTCATATTTGAAGTGCAAGGCTGAATGCTGAAGATAGTAAGTAGGGCTTAGTGCGAAAGTTCCAGGAGATTCTGAGCTCAGGCCAAGTGTTTTGGGATAAAGAGGTGGCATCAGCCAGTGGGTGCGGGAGAATGAGATCCTTAGGACTCTACTGCCTGATGAACTGTTTTTTTATTCATTTATATTTTTTTGAAAATTCCAAAACTGTGCATGGTGGCACACTCCTGTTATCCCAGCACTTGGGAGGCTGAGGCAGGAGAATCATTTGCTAATTGAAGACCAGCCTGGACTACAAAGTGAGCTCAAGGCCAGCCCTCATAACAAGACCGTATCTCAAAAAGACAAAAAAAAAAAAAAATCCTTATTTAAATAATTATTTTGTTGTCAGATTTTCCTTACCACAGAAAAATACACGAAAATAACAGTTATTATTATTATTATTATTATTATTGTTATTATTTTGGTGCCGGGAATCAAAGTCACAATCTCACTCTTGCCAGGCAGACACTGCCACTGAGCTATTTTCCGGGCCCTGAAAATAATAGTTTAAAGGAGGAAAGGTTTATTTGACTCAGGTTTTCAGAGGTTTCAGTCCATGGTCAGCTGACTCTTGCTTTTAAACTTGTAGTGAAGCACCAAAAAAAAACATGATTGAGGAACTGATGAATACTCATTTCATGTTATTCAGGAAGAAAGAGAGAGGGGAAAGAACTAGTGGCAAGACAAACCCATCAAAGTTTATGCCTCTAATGACTTACTTTCTCCAACTAAAGCCCGTTTCCTAATTGCCCAATTAGCTATGAACTAAATTTTGGATTAATCCACTGAATGAGGTTAACACCTTCACTTCCAAAACTTCCATCTCTTAACACGTAAATCTTTTGGGAGACTTGTGTGTGTGTGTGTGTGTGTGTGTGTGTGTGTGTGTGTGTGTGGTTTTTTGAGACAAGGTCCCAGTATGCAGTTTCGGCTGGACTTGAGCTCACTTTGTAGTCCAGGCTGGTCTCATACTCAAAAGGATCCTCTTGCCTCAGCCTCCTTAGTGCTGGGATTATTGATATGCACTACCACGCCTATTTTGGGAGACATTTTTTATTCAAACCATAACAGATCCCTATGTATGTGATTTTGAAAGCAGAGATATTCCTATGGTATAATTTCTTCTTAAAATCATTTTTATATTTCTCACTTATCTAAGATAGTAATTGAATCAGAGTAGACAGTCCAATGCTATTGGGTAGGGACTTCTTGTAGTGTATTTTCCTTTCTAAACTCTATGAAATTTTCTCCATCATTTTGGCAGTATAACCACAACCTCGTCCTGGTGAGCTACACTCAGTTGTAAGTGAATCAACTTTAAATATTCCTTGTATTGGCACATCTACATGTTGATCAATTGAAAGCTGTTCTCTTACACACTGAAGACTTAGTTTCTTATCGTTCTTGTGCACCAAGAGATAAAGGATCTCATTAGTTAGTTGATGCTAGAGATTATCCTGTATCAGTGGTATTCAGCCAGGCATAAGTTGGCAGTGGATATTAAGAATGTCCAGAGCTAGGCATGGTGGTGCAATTCTGTGATCCCAGTACACCCTCTGGAGGCTGAGGCAGGAGGATTACTGCCAGTTCAAGGCCAACCTGAATTGTCTAGCAAGATTTTGTCTCAAAAAGAAAAAATTAATAAAGAATAAATAAAATTTAAAAAAAGAATTCCCAGAGACACTTTTGGCTGTCAATGTGAGGGTTGGGGGCATTCTAGATATCTGCTGAGTAGAGGCCAGAAATGTTGCTAACTATCCTGTAATGCACAGGACAGGCCCCATAACAGAGAATTACTCAGCTCCAAATGTCAGTGGTGCTGACATTGAGACTTTGTACTACCTCTTCTAAATGTTTAAGTTATTTTTCTTATTGAGGAGACAAAATACCCAACACTTAAAGGAGGAAAGGTTTATTTGGTTCACAGTTTGTAGAGGTTTTAGTCCATAGTCGGCTGGGTCCAAGGCAGGGTGGCATGGCAGAAAGGTATCGCAGAGGAGAAATAGTCTAAGGCAGGCAGGCAAGAGCACATTAGCCCTCTTTCTGTCCCTTATATTTCATGAAATCTACCTGCCCTATGTTGGACATGTGTAGCACTCACACCCTTAATCCTAGGCAGAACTATGCCAAAGCAATCAGTGGACTGATGTACTAATGACACATCATTGATCACAGCATCACACACTCTAGATTCAGCCATCTCTGAACTCCCAGCCCCACCATGACTGCATATAGCTTTGGGGGACATCTAGACACAAGCCATAACATTAATGTTATAGAACCGTGTTGCATTCATCAAAGTATGAAATTAACATTGGGTTAATATTATTAAGTAAACCTCAGACTTTATTTGGATCACCCTTGTTTCTCTGCTAGTGTCTTTTCTTCTGTTCCAAATTTACTTTTCCTTGGTTTCCCACTGAGTTTCTTCTGCCTTGTTTTTTATGACTCAATGCTTTTGAGGAGTACTGGTTAGATATTTTGTAGATGTCTTTCCTCAATTTGGTTTTGTGTTGTATTTCCCATGATTTATTTATTTAGTTAGTTAGTTTGGTTATTTGGTACTGAAGATTGAACTCATGACCTCATGCTTACCAGGCAGGCACTGTGCCACTGAGCTATATCCCTGGCTCTTCCCATGATTTAGACTAGGTATACAAACTTAAGGGGAGGAATACTACAGCAATAACTGGTATTTAGGATACCTACAAACAATAATTAAAAGAATAACCATGTGCATGTATCACTGTTTAGGTCAGCAGTTATGTGCAAGATAGCTTACACTTCTAAGGTTATGTGCATTTTCAATTTGATAGCTACTACAACAGTGCCACTTTAGCATTTTACCGTCCCTTGATATTGTAATAGTGATACAAAGTGTTAGAGTTTTT